TCTGAAGTTCAAGGTCAGCCTGGGAAACTTAGCAAGATTGTCTCAAAATGAAAAAAGTTTTTAAAAAAGGACTGGGGAGGGCTAAGGTCATAGCTCAGTGGCAGAGCGCCTGCCTAGCATGTGTGAGGCACTGCGTTCAATCCTTAGCACCACATATAAATAAATAAAATAAAGGCATTCTGTCCATCTACAACCAAAAAAAAAAGGACTGGGGATATAGCTGAGTTATAGAGAGCCCCGTGTTCAATCCCCAGTGCTTCAAACAACAGCAACAACACAACAGGTGAAAAAGCTTCAGAGTGTATCTGGTCCTTCTCTATGCCATTTCTTAGGAACTCAGAATCCTTAGCCATGACACAAAAGGCTCTAAGTGACTGCAGATTATTTGTAACTGCTGGTTGGAAGAAGCAGGCTAGGAAAACTTATCCCTGGAAGAATGAAGGCGGCTTTCCAGCACCTCCGGATGCTTTTCTGGTACAAAGGGCCTTCCTGAAAGCGGTCTCAATGGTTCATTATGATTTGCTCCATGAAGAAACATTTTCCTTTAACATCCTTGGCTTTATGAAATAAGAACTATTTTCATAGCTTCGTCAGCATTTCCAAATTCTAACAAAATGTCCTCTAAAGTAATAAAGTTATTTTTCTTTTTTTTTTTTTTCCCTCGTGCATGGTGGGCAAGTGCCCTACCATCGAGCAACATCCCCAGCCCACTGTCGTTTCAAATACTACTCTTTTCTGGACCCTGGCACTCTTTTCCTGGACACTCTCTTAGCTTTCCAATCACGTGAGTTGGCAAAGAAGTACTGAAAGCAACCCTTACTTTCCATCACCAATCTCAAGTTCCCACACCAGCTCGACAGGCTGCAATTATTTCTGCAGCATCAATGTAGAGACGAACGGTGCAGATGGTTTATCTTCAGGTGACCCCAGCACCACTGCACCCCAATTCTGAGGTGGCCGCGTGGCATTCATCCATCTGCTGCCAGAGGGAAGAGGAGGCCGTCTTTTCTACTTCAATCGCTGCTGTAAGGCTTACCACACAGCCTGCCTGAGGGCAGCCAAACAAAACAGAAGGCAGGAGGAATGGAGGACCAGTCCAGAGAGCTGGATCCAGGTCAGGGAAGGGAAAGCCAGTGCCACCTGTAGCTTTCCAGTTACATAAGCCAACAGGTGCACCGCTCCACGCCCACCAATCTGTCTTCTCTAAATCAAACTAAGTTTGTTCATCAAATGGAAAGAGTTCTATATTAAGATGCTTTTAGCCAGGTGCAGTGGCTCATGACTGTAATCCCAGCGACTTAGGAAGTTGAAGCAGGAGGATTGCAAATTTGAGGCCAGCCTGGTCCTCAGGGACCAGGTCTCTCCTTAGGGAGACCAGGTCTCAAAAAATAAAAAGGGCTCGGTATGTAGCTCAGTGGTAGAGCACCTCTGGTTCAATGCCCAGTATCAAAAAACAAATAAATAAAATAAAGATGCTTTCAGCTCCAAGTAAAAATAAATAAATAAAGGTATTTATTCTCTCATGTAACAGACATCACTGAGATAAGCAGCTTCAGGGCTATTGGATAAAAATGTGATCAAGCTTCTCTGGGTATGGTGGGACACACCTAAAATCCAAGAGACTCCAGAGACTCAGGTAGGAGGACCGCAGGTGCCAGTCCAGCCTCAGCAACTTAATAAGGTCCTGTCTCAAAATAAAATAATTAAAAGGGCTGGGTGGGCTGAGGTTGTGGCTCAGGGGTAGAGCACTTGCCTAATACATGTGAGGCCCTGGGTTCAATTCTCAGCACCATATAAAAATAAATAAAGATATTGAGTCCAACTAAAAAACTAAGAAATATTTTTTAAAAGGGGGGGGGGGGGGGGAGGGAATGTAGCTCAGTAGTAGGGCTACACTGAACCCTGGGTTTAATCTCCAGTACAAAAAAAAAAAAAAAAAAATCTGGGCTTCCCATCTCTCTCCCCTTCTGGCTTGTCTTTGAGGCACAGTTATCAAAGTGGTTTCAAATGGCTACCAGTGCTCCAGGCACACATCCTCAATCCACAGTATCAGAGGGAAGAGTGGGAAATTTCCCTTGTTTCTATTGGGGAAGGGCACTTTCGAAGACCAACCACCCCAGCGTACTTCCTGTTACTGTCACTGGCCAGAAGGGAGCTTCACACTACCCCACTGCCTCCACCATAGGCAAGGAAGGGTGGAGTCACCATGATGGCAAAGACAAAGCGTGACTTGGACAGCCCCCTCCTCCTGGAGCATACACTGTGGAGGACACCTGATCAATGTAGGGTTCTATTTCCAAGGAAGAAGAGGGAAACGACTCCTAGGTAGGCAAGCGACAATGTCTGCTCTAGGTCCTAACATAAGCACTGGTGTTTGGTGACACAGTGAAGAACACAACTTTCCAAACCAAGTTATGAGAATTATCATTTTAATTTTCATGTACATCCAACCTAAATAAACAACAACCATAATTTTTATTCTTAAGAAACTATGAATTGGGGCTGGGGATGTGGCTCAAGCGGTAGCGCGCTCGCCTGGCATGCGTGCGGCCCGGGTTCGATCCTCAGCACCACATACAGACAAAGATGTTGTGTCCGCCAAATACTAAAAAATAAATATTAAAAAAATTCTCTCTCTCTCCCTCTTTCTCACTCTCTCTCACTCTTTCTTTAAAAAAAAAAAAAAAGAAACTATGAATTAACCACAAAGCCATAAAGTCCTTGATGTGGTTTTTTAAGCCTTTGCTGAATGCGGCAGAATAATGGGTATTACCTATGGAGGTTATTTTCAATGTGCCTAATAGCAGGAAAGGAATGTTAATGAGTTAGCCTCCCATGCTCAAAGTTCTAAGACTACCTGTTAGCCAAGGCTGTTAGAACCTGCCAGGATATACAGCCAAAGAACCTGCAGGCTGAGCTCAGGTTATAGCTCAGTGGCAGAGCTTTTGCCTAGTGTGGGCAAGGCCCTGGGTTCCACCCTCAGCACCAAGGGGTAGGGACCAGAAGGCTGGCGGTGTAGCTCACTGGTAGAGAACTTGCAGAGCAAGCACAAGGCCCAGAGTTTGACCCCAGCACCACAAAACAAAATAAAATCCCCTGTTAAATAAAGAGCAGGAACCCTGAGTAAAACTAGTTTCCAACTCTGTATAATCCCAGCAGGAGAAGCATGAGTTCAAAACCAGCCTCAGCAACTTAGCAAAGCCCTAAGCAACTTAGTGAGACCCCGTCTCAAAGAATAAAAAAGGGATGGGGATGTGGCTCAGAGGTTAAGCACTCCTGGGTTCAATCCCTGGTACCAAAAAAACAAAAACAAAAACATTACTATCCAGTTCTGCCTGCTCCTTAAGATATGGTGGTACTGGAAGTTACAAGGCTTTAATGAAATGGCACCTGAAAGCTCAGGGGCTACAGCACGGCACTCAGCAGTACTGTGAGGTCCGGGAAACAGAGGAGGGCTGGCACCAGCCGATCAGGACACAGGTAGTGATGGAGCCGGTGAACAATCTGTTCATTTCCGAAGCTAACACAGACCATAACTATGTTGCAAAAGAATTACTAGTCCCAGGGCTAAGGCTGTGGCTCAGCGGTAGAGCGCTCGCCTAGCATGTGTGAGGCCCTGGGTTCGATCCTCAGCACCACATAAAAATAAAATAAAGATATTGTGTCCAACTACAACTACATAAACAAGGTATTAAAAAAAAAAGAAAAGAAAAAGAATTACTAGTCCAGTAATTGAGATCCAAAGGCAAAGAAAATTAACTTATAAAGCATCAGTGGTGATAAGGAAAAATTAACAGTAGGTAAGTGGAAACTAGTAAAAACAGCTAAAAGAAACAGATAAAAGTCTCAGGTGATCTTAGGAAACTACTTAACTGTGCCTTGAGCAACTACAAACATTTTAGACTAGAATTTAATATCACTTGAAGTCCCTGCTTCTTTCTTCGCAAACCACTTCAATGAACCTGCACGTGTGTTCATACCTATTATTACATAGATTCATTCTCCCAAATTAAAAGCTAATTATCTTAACAATTATTTGCCACAGGAAACAGAGAAAGTTAAGTGGGGTAGACTGGAAACCAAGGCATGATAGTGCACCACCCACACTCCCAACAATCTGGAAGGCTAAGACAGGAGGTTAGCAAGTTGGCCAGCCTGGGTGATTTTTTTTTTTTTTTTTTTTTTGATACCAAGGATTGAACTCAGGGGTGCTCGACCACTGAGCCACATCCTCAGCCCTATTTTATATTTTACTTAGAGACAGGGTCTCACTGAGTTGCTAAGTGCCTCACTAAGGTGTTGAGGCTGGCTTTGAATCACAATCCTCCTGCCTCAGCCTCCCAGGCTGCTGGGATTACAGGCCTGCACCATTGTGCCTGGCAGCCTGGGCAATTTAATGAGACTCTCAGCAACTGACCAAAATCCTGTCTCAAAATAAAAAGGACTGGAGAACCAGGCACAGTGGCACACACTTATAATCCCAGCAACTAGGGAGGCTGAGGCCAGGAGGATCATAAGTTTGCAGCCAGCCTGGGCACCTAAGCCAGACCCTGCTTCAAAAACAGAGCTGGGGATGTCGCTCAATGGTAGAGCACTTGCCTGGCATATGTAAGGCCCTCAATTAAATTCAGTTTCAAGGGGCAAAAAAATAGTGATCCTGTAAATTAACTATCAACCACCTGCCTTAACTAAGGAGGACATCAGCCTAGTTGAGCAGCAGAGGCTAATGTGCACTAAGGGCAGTGAGAAGCAGGAGACCACAGAAAGGCCTTTGCTATGTAGATGGACTGCTGCATGACCTGCAGAGGGTAACCACCACTGTCTGAGCCCAGGTTCTCATCTTTAATGTGCGCTCATAACACCCTACGCAGGCTACAGTGAGGAAGAAATGGAATCAAATACCCAATGCAACTCTTGAAGTTTCCAGCACTAAGGAGGCACTTAAAAAAATGGTGGTTACTGTTATCACTTTTATTATGAGATCAGCAATAAGCACTTACCTAGAGAAACAACAGCAACGCTCTCTGGTAAGAAATGCAATCTGTATCGGATCAGTAAATGCACCAATATGATGCAGATAGCTGTGGGAAAAAATAAGACAGTGTTTAAAAAAAAAAAAGCCCAAATTTGAATAAACATCAAGTTCAAAGCAATGTTTATGGGGGGGGGGAGCTATCAGCATAATAGACACTTGGTAATGACACAGTAAGCTTCGATTGTATTTTCATTGTCTTTTTTAAAATTTTTTCTTTTGTTATTCTAATTAGTTATACATGACAGTCAATGCATTTTGACACATCATACATAAATGGGGTATAACCTCTCATTCTTCTATATATTATCTTAGCTTTTAACCTGGAAGTAAACTTAAACTTATAGTTTTTATAATATTTCTCTATACTTCTTTGTATGCCTGAACTACTTTGTTTTCTGGTAGCTGATGTTTCAATAAACTGCAAAAACTTATACAAGCGTTTAAATTACATAGATTTTCCTGATTATGAGAAATGGTCCTATTTTTTTAAAACTAATTTTCAACTGGAAAACTCTAAACAGTGAAGAGGAAATCAATGAAACCATTTTTACGCAAATATAACTGCAACAGGTTATGTAGACATGAAATATTTTGTCACCACCTGACCAGCTCTCTATTATGAAGAAAGTGAGGATGTTTAAAGGTCAATACTTTGTTTAGTGAAGAAAACTTATCAAAGAGATTCAAAAATGGGATATTCCTGCTCCCCAGCTGGCTACAGCTGGGCCGAGCAGTTCCCCAAGAGTCCAGAACTGCACTGAGCACTCCCCAAAGTTGGCTCACTGGATCCCAGCTCCGCCCTGGGCTAGCTGTCGTCACCATTACATCCTTTGGACAGAGAAAAGCGAGGCTTGAGGACGCCACACACAGGTGGTGCTGCGGCCCTGTGCTCTGTGCCACAGTGCTCTCTGCCACCTCCCACCTGGCTGGCAGCCTCCATTCCTCAACCTCCAAAACAGGACTCAAGCCTCACTTGTCTCACAGGGGTTCTGCCAGGAAACAAGCAAAGAGGATGTAAAACTATTTTAAAAAAGAAAGTACTGCAGCAGGGCATGGTGGTGCACGCCTGTAATACTAGGGGCCGGGGAGCAGAGTCAGGAGGATCACGAGTTCCAAGCCAGCCTCAGCAAGGGCAAGGCGCTAAGCAACTCAGTGAGACCCTGCCTCTAAATAAAATACAAAATAGGGCTGGGGATGAGGCTCAGTGGGTGAGTGCTGGACTTCAAGCCCCAGTACCAAAAAAAGAAAAAAAAAGTAAGCATCGCATAATACTTCATGGCCCAGACCTTAGTACACAGTCTCTGTCTTTCATTAGGCTCCTTGGCGGCACACCATCTGCTAATCACAGTATTATCTTACTAGAACTGATTTTTTTAAAGGAAATGCTTAAACAATCTGCATAACTGTTAACACCCTCAGAGCCTACACTAACAAATGAGATTTCTTCAATCCCAATAAAAAGCACCAGGTGGCCAAAGAAAGCAAACAGTTATACAGAGTTATCCCTCGTTCATTCTGTGCTTCACACTATTAATCTGTGATGTTATTTTAATATAAATATTTAACCTAGTTAGAAAATCTACATTAAATAATAAAAGCATGAAAAAAGTCCCCAGATGCAAGTACAGCGTGTGCTGATGAGCATGCGCTGACCGGAGGAAAGAGCACGTGAGCATGAGGAGACAGAAAACGGCATCAGTTTCTGCTCTTTCTTTGCACCAAGCTGGATTTCTAAAAATTAACTTGAAAAGTTTACTCATATAAAAAGCAAATGATTATATGCAGTTTTAAGGGGAAATTGTCTAAGCCACTAACAAAAAAACTCTGAAAAGACAACCCACAGAATGGGGGGAAATATTTACACTACTATATATGAAGATGGACTAGTATAGAGAATATACAGAGAACTCCTACAGCCAACAACAAAGAGCCAACACAGTATAAAAATGGGTGAAGAACCTTAACAGACATTTTTCCAAGTAAATGGCAAGTAAGCACAGGAAAAGGGCTCACCATCAACAGTCCTAGAGAAACAAAACAAACCACAATGGGACGAAACTTCACATCCTCTCGGATCCATCCATCTTATTATCTATTGACCTATTCATGCTGGGCTTGAACCCAGGGGCACTCTATCACTGATCCTCAGCCCATTTTATTTTTTGAGACAAGGTCTCCCTGAGTTTTATAGGCTGGCCTTGAACTTGTCATCCTCCTGCCACAGCCTCCTAAGTGGCTGGGATTACAGGGGAGTGCTACATGCCCAGCTGGGATGGCTATAATAAAAACAACAGCCAGGCGTGGTCATGCATGTTTGTAATCCCAGCAGCTCAAGAAGCTGAGGCAGGAGGATTGCAGATTTGAAGCCAGCCTCAGCAATTTATTGAGACTGTAGCAAGCTAGTGAGATGCTGTCTCAAAATAAAAAATAAATAAAAAGTGCTGGGGATGTAGCTCAGTGGTTAAGCATTCTTGGGTCCAATCCCTGGAACAACAACAACAAAAAAAAAAAAGCAGAATATAACAAGCATTGATAAAAACATGGAGAAACCAAAACTCTTATAAAATGGTGCAGACTGTGAAAAAGAGTTTGGCAGTTCCTGAGAGTTAAACAAAGTAACCATTCAATCAAACAAGTTCACTCATAGGTAAATATCCAAGAGAAAGAAAAACACTGCCAAGTGCATTAGCACATGTCCATAATCCTAGCCATTCAGGAGGCTGAGGCAAGAGTATTGCCAATTCAAGACCAGCCTGAGCAACTTAGCCAGACCCTGTCACAAAACAAAAAACATATACTCCATATATGTATAATATGTCCAAATATACTCTGTCATGTATATCTAAAAAGAACAAATAAAAAAATTTAAAAATAAGGGTGGGAGATATAGTTCAGTGATAGAGCACCCCAGGTTCAATCCCCAGTACCTGCTCCACACACACACACACACAAAAAAAAAAAAAAAAAAAAAAACAACTGTACACAAATGTTCACAGAAGCACTATTCAGAATAGTCAAAAGGTGGAAACAATCTAAGTGTCCATCACCTGATGAATGAATAAACAAATGAATAAACATAGCCATACAATGGACTATTATTCAGCATAAACAGGAGTGCATTCTAAAACATGCTCTGACATGGATGAATCCTTAGGACATTATGCTAAGTGAATAAGCCAATCACAAAAGGTCTCACATTGTATGATTCCATATATATGAAAATATTCTTTTTGGGGGGTACCAGGGATTGAACTCAGGTACATTCAGTCACTGAGCCACATCCCCAGCCCTATTTTGTATTTTATTTAGACAGGGTCTCACTGAGTTGCTTAGCACCTTGCTGTTGCTGAAGCTGGCTCTGAACTCACAATTCTCCTGTCTCAGCCTCCCAAGCCGCTGGGATTATAGGCGTGCGTCACCACACCCAGGCTATATGAAATATTCTTAATAGGTAAATTCCTAGAATCAGAGAGCCACATGGTGATTGCTACAGCAACAAAGACTAAGGAGTAACTGCTTTTAATGCTTTTTTTATAAAAATTTTTTAATAGTTGTAGGTGGACAGCATGTCTTTATTTTATTTATTTTCATGTGGTGCTGAAGATCAAACCCAGTGCCTCACACGTGCTAGGTAAGCACTCTGCCACTGAGCTACAGCCCAGCCCTAATGCTTTGTTTTAATGCTTTCCTTCTGAAGTGATAAAAATGTTCCGAGCCAGGCACAGTGGCACATGGGATAGCTATAATTAAAACAACAGCCCAGAGACACTCAGCCAGAAAGTCACAAGTTCAAACCAAGCCTGGGCAACTCAGCGAAGTCCTGGCTCAATATATTAAAAAAAGCCTGGGATGTAGCTTAGTGGTTGAGTGCCTCAGGGTTCAATCCCCAGAAGCATAGAAAAAGAAAATATTCTGGATCTAGATGGCTGCACAACACTGTGAATGGAATAAATGTAGCTGAATTACACACTTTAAAATGGTTTAAATGATATTTTGTTTATTTTACCACAATTAAAAATGAAGTGGATATAAAATCTACTAACATGAAAAAAGAAAGCACAGACATTCTGTGAGAAAAAGCAAATTACAGAATTCCGTTTATGTTAAAATAAACTCCAAACTATATGTGCTTGCACACCCGTATGTGCTTATAAACGGACATACGTGCATATACATACATGCAAACATGCCTTCAAGTACAGTAAGGGGGAAAAAACAGCAAGAAGGGATGAAAACTTGTGTGGTACAGAAGGAATGCATCCCATAAACTAATGTGCTTCTCTTTTTTTGTGCCTGACCTGGCAATTATGGAAAATACATGAAAACAAACATGTCAATTTTAATAACTCCATTAAGTTTAATGGCCCATAAGATGCACTAAATGATGTTAATTGTTAACTCTAGTTTAAGTCAATAATAATGACTCATCATTGATTCTAGTGAAGTCAAAGATCAGCCAGGTTAAATGCAAGTCAACTGAATTCAAGTTTCTAAAAGTCAAAAGTAACTATAGTTTTGTCATTCCTTCATAACAAAGAGGAAACATCATAATCCTATGATATGCTTATAGGACACAAAGTTACAATTTCATTTGATTTAACTAAAATAGTAAACAAAAATGGTAAATGGCTGGGGCACCCTGTTCCACTTGTGCAATCTAAACTACTTGGGAGGCTGAGGCCAGGTAGTGAGACCCTATCTCAAAATATATAACTATAAAAAGGGCTGGAGATATGGCTCAGTGACAGAGCTCTCTTGGGTATGATCCCCAACTCTGCAAAAATAAAACAAAAACAAAAGCAAGCATTATTCCATTCTGTCAACGCCTGCTGATAAGTAAGTAGAGACACTAACTCATCCAAGAATCTGATTAGGTGAAACAAAACTCACGGAACAGCAGTGTGACTCTAGAGTCTAGGTTTATGATCAGTTTGAAGAGAAAACAATCAAGAAAAATACCCAGCACTATTAAGTACAGTTCGGCCTTCCCAGCTCCCAAGATGAGCTAACACTGGGCAGGATTTTGCTGAGATTAGAAGGCACATTATCGAAACCTGTTTTGTGATCTCCAGCACAAGTTAATCTTAAGTGCCCCACATCCTGAAAGTTTTAATTTGACATTTCATCCTCCCTTAAAAAAAGTGATCACAGAAGTTTCCCAGGCTGCCTTTTCTATTCTCTAACAGAGCAGGCTGCCAGCAGTGTCAACAGACTAACCACGCTCCATCCTGAAAGATGATGTCAGGTCCTGAAGAGTTCTTAATAAAGAAAAGAACTGCTTTTCTTCTTTGTATTCAATTACTTTAACCAAAGGAAAAGAAAATAAAACCAAAGAGTCCTTGATTATTGGAAGTAATCCACTAGAGATCATTCAATTACATTTACTGGGTAAAAAAATGGTCCAGGTGTACTACGTCCCACACATTGTACACTTCGCATTGTGTACTTTCTCATTATTCAATTTAAAAGTTTTTTAAATTCTATGACGGAAAAGGATGAATCGTAGGATTTCCAATAAACTACTATACTGTTAAAACTCTTTGACCATTTACCACAGTCTGAATATAAATGTGAACAAAATTACACTTTTTCTCCAAAACCAGTCCTATTAAACATCAAAACAATACTCATAAAAACCCAGTTCCTTTCACTCCTCTGAAAAGGTCTAATCTAATTAAATGACATCAGTATCATTAAGGAAAAGCAGCAAATGTAAACATGCAAACTTTTGAAATGAGTCTGGACTTGGGTCCTGTCACCCTCCGGGTTCTTTGTCCCTACTCAGCTAATCTAAAGTGACTGTACAATTTCTCCAAAACAGTTGTCCTCTGTCCATCTCCTGTCTCTGGGAGACACTGAAGTTTTGACCTCTTTATCTAGACCTCCTGACTGGCATCTGGCAACCCGGATATCAGCCACTAGTCTCCACCAGCCAGGTGTGCGACTGCTCGACCTCTCTAGACCCACTGGAGGAAGGTGAACAGGTAAGATTTTAACTTGGACAAAATTAGCCCATTTAAACAAAAATATAAGAAAGGAAAGAGCACAGAGAGTGTGCAGAGATGGCAAAGGTCACAACCACAGTCAATGGGAATGACAGTTGAATGGTGTCTGACACAAGGGTTTGGTCTTTCACTCAAATATACCCAGAAACCTAATAAATACAAGAGACAAAATGCTGCTCTGGTTGAAGTAAGTTAGGGACAGGAAGTCAGATGTGTTCTCACTTGGCTCCCCCTACCTCCTGCCCACCACCTTCACACATGTGTGCATGTACACACACACACACACACACACACACACAGATTCCTATGAGCAGAATACGAAATCCACTAATGGTTGTTCAAGATCCTTTTTGGGTCAAAAATTCTTTAATTCCTTCTTTCAAAGGTCAGGATACGACACTAAGAGCTCTTCAGAACTGCTTAGCCCCATGATTCCATAGACCCTTACGGTGTTATGACCACTGGCCCTCAGTGTTGAAAGTGGAACCACATGGCAGGAAGGCCTGACAGAGACAGCGATGACAGGGTCAACCACAAACACTCCTGAGGGCAATGGTGGGCTCCATATTCACCTAAGACAAGGAGGCTGAAGAAAATGGTCATGCCACTTGACTGCTCCTCCTGCTGGGCCTGCTCGCCCGTCTGCACAGGGAGGATGGGCTTGGCAGGGGTCGGGAGCACCAGTTTGGTCGTGACACCCAAGGTGGTATGGAGGGTGACATTGAAACCCTCATGAGTTGTATTGGAGAACCTGTTGGAGAATATAAAAAGCAGAATTAGATGACAGAAAGGGGTCTCAAGTATCAATACACACACCTCAAAATGGAAGAGAACCTGGCAAAGAATTTCATGGGATTCACAAGTCTCCCAAAGAGAAGGCAGGCCTCAGAAAAATGGAGATGAAGGAAACCCCTGCCTGCAGGAGGGTAATAAAGACCTCAGGTACCTTTGATTATAGCCTCCCAGAGGCCAGGAACAAGGGCAAATCTGGGCTGGTATAGAAACAAAATATGTCCTGCTTTTTCACACTTGATGGGGGCAACTAGTCTCAACACATCCCAAGGTCCATTACTTCATGCTTTTATTTATCCATTTTGTGTTCTTTGTATTATTTCTGCTTGCGGAAGAAACCACCTGAATTTGCCCAATTGTCACTCTGGTCAGAATGACCTACCCTACCTTACAAAATCCTACTCAGATTTCAGAAGGCTCAGGTTACCTGCTTTATAATACTCCACCCCACCCAGTGTACCCACCCCATGGCTTCTGTGCCAAGGCTCTCTTTTCATATTGTGTTGGGACTGTGAACTAGGGCAATACTGATATGATAACAATGGTTAATTGTGCTTGTAACAGTTGGTATTTACTGCATCCTGCTTCATTCCAGGAACAAGGTAACACACTACCTCTCCAGGTTCCATACCTTGACCAACATCCTTATTAGTCAATGGCAGAATCAAGCTTCAACCCAAGCCTGACAGCACGGGGCTAGTCCAGTCTCTTTGCTTTGTGCTGTTGAGGACCAGTTCAGTGTCTGGAGCAGATGCCCAATAAGTCAATCGACTGAATGACTTGGCCCCCACGTGGCCAAGGGCTATTGAAAGGTTATCAGGTGAAGAAGTCCAGTATCAATGGGTACCTTGCTAACCTTCACATACTCATTCCACGAACACTGACAGGGTGTCTAGAACGTGCAACAGATGGTGGCCTGCAACGATGGCGATGGACCTTGGCCACAAAGGCCTGGAGGACACAGACGCCCTCCCTACCTCATCACATGGAGCTCATTCTCCTGTTTTCTACACTCTACCCCTGCTGCCTTTCTTTCCTTCACTCCAAAGCACAAAACCCTCTCTTGAGAAAGGGCTTTTGAACTTGCCACCTCTCCTATTCCTCCTGTTTGTTAAAGTTTCTGCTCAAGCGACACTTCTTCCTGGGAACTCCGCACCCGCACGCTACTCCACTCCTTGCATTTATCGGGCCGGGGCCCACCGCGTGGGTCCCTGTCAGACTTCAGGCAGCTCCTGGTCCGCCTCCCTCACTACCATGTGCCTCGGGCCTGCAACTGCGCCAACCGTCCTCGGATGAATGAAACTCGGTGAAGGGGACGGACGCGAACCGATCGTTAGAGGAGGCTGCGGCTGGCGAGGCAGCGAGCGGGCGCGGGGGGCCCGGAGCCTTCCTGCGGCGAGGCGAGGAGCGCGCAGCGGCCTCCGCAGGGCGGAAACCCAGACGGTGGAGGTGGGCCGCGGCCTCCGCAGGGCTGTTCTCGGGGCGCCCCAGCCCGGGGTCCGACCTCCGGGGGCTGCAGAGCCCAACCGGGCCCACGTCCCCATCCCGCCCTCCGCGTGGGCGCGGGCAGGGGCAGCCCTGACAACTGGCACAGGAACCCCGCCTTCCGGGCCAGAGGCTCGCCGTCACCCGCCGGGGCCCAGCCCTGCCGCCTCCGCCGCCCCGGAAAAGCCCACTCACTCCTCTTCCGCCATCTTCTCCCCCATCCTGCGGAGCCTCCAAGACCACCGAGTTTGGAGCCGCGGGGCTAGCGGGGCCCACGGTCGCTTCCGGCTTCCGCTGGAGGCGCGGGCGGGCCAGCGCGCGGGGGGCGGGGCCTCGACCTCGCGAGGGTGACCCTCTGTCCTGACATCTCAGTGGCCTGAGGGTGGGAGGAGGCGCGTGGGAGGGCCCTCCCGGGACTGTCCGGGCTTACGTCCGGTTTGGGCCACGTGGCAGCACTGCCCCGGAGAGTCGGCCTTTTCCCGATTACCGGGCGGGGACGATTTGGGGGAAACTTCTGTGAGGTCACTGTGACTCACCCTGAGGGCAAGCACTCTCTACCCAGCGCCCTGACATTCATTTGGCTAAAATCCGGGACAGAAATCCCCTCCCAGCCTCATGCTTGCTAGGAAGCGCTCTACCACTGAGCTACATGCCCCCAGCCCCTGATTCAACAAATTAGTAGTAGGCGCCTACTGTGTGCCCAGCAGTGCAGTGGCGGGTAGGGGGACCCCATCAGAAAGGCTATTGTAAGGCTTTGGGGTTTGACTGACCGCCTCTGCTGCCCTGGTCCGAGCCATAGAATCTCATCTGGTTAATCACACACTCCCTGAATGTCTGTGCCGGTTCCTGAAGGTCTTCCATAGAGGTCAGAGTGATCCTTAAACTACAGTCACGCTTCTGCTCAGAACCTGTAATGACTTACAATCTTAAAGCCCTGGACCATCTCCAGGAATCAGCTCTGCCCCGTTTGCCCCAGTAAGCTGGGTCTCGGCCCACTCCCTCCCCACTTTGTGCTGTTATCAGGGCAGCTTCCTCCCTATGCTTGGAGCCCTGAGAGCACCACTTGCCCTGGTACTTGCCCAGCCCTTGGTCTAGAATGCTCTGCTCCTAGGCAACTGCTTGGGCTCCACCTTTACCACCTTCAGCCTTTTGCATTAAGTCTTCCCTGACCATTTAAAATCCTGACTATTTAAAATCCAAGGACCCCCACCGTCCCTGAACTATTTTTCCATAGATCTCCTAAAATACCATGTATTCTGCTGGGCATGGTGGTGCTCGCCTATGATGCCAGTGAGTTGGGAGGCTGGGGCAGGAGGATTTCAAGTTAAAGCCAGAAAAATAAAAAGGGCTGGGGATGTGACTGTGGTAAATTACTCCTGGCTTCATATGTTCATATATATAGTGATTTGCTTAGATATTTATTGTCCATCTTGCACAATGAGAGTGGAACTGAGATAGGGAAACACCCTCAAGCAATTGAAATGCAGAATCAATCCATTGAGATGCAGAAAACACAAATGGGCAAATCTTGGCCCATACTCTAGGCCTGTGTCCCTGTAAAATAAGGGAAATAAATACACAAGCACTGGAAAAATGGCACAGAATTGTGCAGCTAAAGTCTAGTCCCTGAAATAGCCCTTCTATAAATATTGGACCCCCCAGTCCAAGTCAGAGCTGCGTCTCCCTCTGCAGACAGCCCAAGTCTCTCTTGAATGTCTACCTTCCTCAATAAACCTATCTAAACCTTTGTCTGGCTCTTGCTGAAATTCTTTTCCTTTCTGTCACATGTGGCAAGAACCCTGTTGTTGGTCCTCAGTTGAGTTCCCTCTCTTTTCTGGGAACTCCTGGGGCCCTTCTCTGGAGACATCTCTTCTCCTGTGACAGAATCTTCATGAATACAGAGATTCTTGTCTGTTTTGTTCTCCATTTTATCTCCAGTGCCTAAAACGGTACCAGGCTCATGGTAGACACTCAATAATAATCATCATCGGATAAATAAGTTCATTCTAAGTGCTTCAGGGAGTCACAGAAAGGGTTCCTTCCAACAAATGACACAGCCTTGGCTGCTTGTGGAGTGTTGACTGGGTGTGGTGAATCTAGGGGAGAAGCCCCAAGACCAGCCAGGAGGCCTTGGCAGTCATCTGGGTGAGAGCTGATGGCATTTGGATGAAGGTAGTACCTGAAGTGGCAGGTGCGGTTGGACTGGGTGCACATTGAAGGCAGGGTTTGCTGATGGACTGGGGCAGTTGAAAGAGGATGAAGTCAGAGTTTTGGCCCTGAGGAGCTAAACTGAGAAATCCTGAGGAGCTAAACTGAGAAATCCGGCTGAAACCCAGAGTTCTCCACCCTCCGAGACCTTTTAGGACTCTTGTCAAAACTGAGAGAATGAGGTTAGATTCTGCTGGTTTTTTGAGCCCTTCCTGTGGGTGTGCTGTGAGGCTATTGTTTCCTTAATTCCTTCCATAGCTTTCTAGATGAAACTGTCATTATTCAGGAACTGAATCACCACAGAGAAGTCAAGCCACTTGCCTGCAGTCACACAAAAGCAAACCATGAAGCTGGAACTGTCTCTGTCTCTCTTTCGTGTGTGTGTGTGTGTGTGTGTGTGTGTTGTGCTGGAGAAGGTCTTGTGCATGCTAGAAAAGCTCTCTATACCGCTGAGCTAAACCCCCAGCCCTTTTAAAATTTTATTTGGAGGATGGATATAAAAGTGCACACCTGTAATCCCAGCAATTGGGGAAACTGAGGCAGGAGGATCCCAAATCGCAGGCCAATCTGGGCAAGTTAGGCAGCCCCTGTTTCAAAATAAAAAATAAAAAAAGGCTGAGGGTGCAACTAGGGTCTGTTCCTGGTTCAGTCCCCGGCACTACTGTAACAGGGGACCCTTTTATGCTTTGAATATAGCCCTTGCTGCTCTGCCACTGTGACTGATTTTTTTAAAGGACGCGTTTCTCTTTCTCTGTTCTCCTCCCTAACCTCTCCCCGTCCCTAATCTCAGGGGAAACAGGATTACCTTTCTTCCCCATCCGAGTTATCTGTCCTTGAGCACACACCCACCATGGGAATGAAGTAATTCAGATTTGGGGGATGGCACCAGAAGATCTCAGAAATGACTCTCTCCCAAATTAACAAGTGAACCTTTGAATCACCTCTTTAGAAGCCTCCTGTTCCCCTTGATGAGTAGAATCACAGCCTTTGGGACAGGAGCCCCCTGAGTTTTTCCTTTGCAAGCAAAATAATAAACCTTCTTTTTCCTTTTTCTCAAAACTGTGTCCTTGTTACTGGATTGGCATCAGGGACAAGGACTGAGCTTTGGGTAACACTAAAAAAAAAAAAGGCGGGGGCAGGGAGCTAGGAATGTAGCTCAGTAGTAGAGCACTTCTGGATTCCATCCTCAATACTGCAAAAAAAAAAAAAAAAAAAAAATTGACACAGCGACTTCCTGGGCCCTAAATCACTCAGGCCAGCCCTGAATTCTCCTCAGCCTCTCACGCGGTTGGGACTACTAGTGTAGGCCACCATGAGCAGCTCAGGTCATTTTTTTTTTTTAAACCAATAGCCCTGTTTCTCTGTACTGCCTAAGTTTCTCTGGCTCTAAGATAAAAGTAGACCCAGAGACTTATGGGAGGCGAAGTGGGTGGCAGAGGGTGAATGCTTGGTGCTCTCAGGCCAGACCTGTGGAAGGAAATGGAGATTTACAAAACCCTCAGGGGAAAAGGGAGCTCAGGTCTCTGACCTGGTGCAATCCTAGCTGACCAACTCCTCCCACAACCTGGCCCCGCTAAGCCCTGTGAAACTCAGACCCTGTTGTAGCCCGTGGCCTTGCTGCCTCTTGAAAGTGTGCCCCTCTGCTGCTCAATAAAGCATCGCGGATTCCTTGAGGTCTGGCTCAGTTTCTTTTTCTTTTTATATTCTCTTTCATTTGCTTTCACTTGTTACCCAAGAGCTCAAGGCTGTTCCTCTTTCTCTAGCCCCAGAAAACCCCACCTGGCTGCAATTCACCAAGGGCTGCTCCTCTCTACCCACTCACTGCCCTCACCACTCAAGGCCAGATCAGCACTTGGCAACAGTCCTTGGACTGCAGCCCCGGCCTCCTCGGGCCTGCTGCCAGCCCTGAGGCTGCAGGTCACCTGCTCTCAGGCCTGTGGTCAAGTCCCAGGTGCTTCTCACCTATTCCTGGGAATTAATCTAAACTCTCAAGGTCATGGCCCCAGGAAGACAAATAAAGGCACTGGACATGCAGTTCCTGGGCTCAGGGCTGTGCCAGGCCCAGAAGTGCCAGCCTGCAAGTTGCAGTTCTGCCCAAGCCTGGGAGGCCTCAGGGAGTCACCACAATTTTTGTCAGCACCCCTCTTAGAAGACTGTTGCCGGTGAGAGAGAAAGCGCCTGCCTGGGTTCTCTCTGCCTGGTCTGCTCTACCCACTACCTCCAACCTTCCGCCTTGTTATTCCACCTCTTGTCATCTCCGATGTCACCTCCTGGGTGAGGGGCCCCTCTCTGACCTGCAAACTTTTCCTCTAAAGACAGTAAATCCAGGCTTTGCAGTGAGAGAACAGTCCTGGAAGACATAAGAAGGTGGGGCCAGGTTCCAATAAAACTTCATGAATGTTGACATTTGAATGTCATGGTATTCCCACATGTCATTATTTTCACTCTTCTCTTTTGGATTGTTTTTGACCATTTAAAAAATGTAAAGCCAAGCCGGGCACAGTGGCACACGCCTGTGATTCCAGCGGCTTGGGAGGCTGAGGCAGAAGGATCAAGAGTTCCAGGCCAGCCTCAGCAAAAGCAAGGCCCTAAGCAGCTCAGTGAGACCCTGTTTCTAAATAAAATACAAAAAAAAAAGGGCTGGGATGGGGCTCAGTGGGCAAGTGTCCCTGAGTTCAATTCCTGGTACAAAAAAAAAAAATG